TGATGGATATTTCGAAGATTTGGCAGATGACCCGCCCCGTTCTAGAATGACCTCCGGCATTCGTGAACAAATTTTATCGGCTATTTCCGCTCACCTCGACCAGGATGGCAAAGTTGCTCTCGACGCTATGGGGGACGCAGCCGTACAACATGGAATCAGCCTTCCAAAGCTAGAGGATCTTAGCAATCAACTGATTGCTCTACAAACGACTTTGTTTGAAACCTCGCAGGCGAGTTTGAGGGCAGATTTTTGGAGAAGTTTTCTTTACCGTGAAGCGAAGAAGACTACAGACTGGCTTGCTACTGCGCAGAGCCAGAATTACAACTTGCCTCCAGAACTAGCCAAGCAAAACTTGGACCTACAGCGGAAAACCAAGGCCTTTATTGCACATTTATCAGATACACAAGAGCGCATAGCAACCTGCATACCGAGCGGAAAGGGCTTCGATCCAACTATTCAGCTCGTGACCGAGGAAGAAGAGCAGTTTTTGGCTGTATTGTCCCATAAAAAGGATCTAGATGCGCAGTTGATGGTTTTTCAAGGGCTGCCAAGCGATACAGACAAAGCTAGGGATGAAGTTGACACACTTCGGCAAAAGCTGAGAGGATTCACCTCTCGTAGAGACCAAGCATTCGAAAGCTTAGTGGAACAAGCAAGCCCGGCCAAGCGGCGTCCATGATGAAGCATCCTTTTAGTGCAATTTGAGTATCTATCATTGCCCTCTTAGAGAACTAATGAGCAAACACTCTCACAAAGTCTACTAACTTCTCTTGCTCTTGCCCGAAACTGCGCCGCCCAATCTTCCAAATTGTCTCCCCAAGCCAGATTTCTTGACTGGAGGTGTTGGAGCAAGTTCTTTTGATGCCGCCGGGGAAATCACCGGAGCGGGTGCTCGATTGCTGTTCTTCAAGTCCAGTGGTCCATCTGCCATACGAAGCTCGCCTAGGCTTGTCGTGGCGATGTCTTCTCCTTCCAGATTGTGCCGCTGCACTCGTCTTGCTCGGTCCTGCACGCTGCGAAACTTTTCCAGAAGCTCGACCCACCTGATGCCGCCGTCGTCTCGACCTTTCAGCCGATTTGGCCGGTCGTAGTTGGAGCTGCCGGATGGCGTTGCCGCACTGGAAGTGGAATCAGTATTTCACAAGTCGCATATAAAGCAACTGGGGTGGGTGTCGAGAGGATATTGTCATTCTCCGAATTGCCTCCTTACCTCCGAGGTGCCACAGTCAAGTACCCAATTGAGCTGACGCTGTTGAGTCTATTTTTGAGGGCCGCAAAGGCTGATGATTGTGGCAACAACATCAGGATCCCGTACATGCATTTGTATAGGTATGGATATTTCTCCGGTTCCAGCAGTTGCAGCCTCAAATCTGACGTTGGCGTAAGCAAATTAATTGGCTGGTCAGGGCATGGGGTTCCTATGGTTGCTCACACGTGAAGACGGGAGATTCAATGAGTTGCACTAGCTTATCGACCTGGATAAGAAGATTTACCGTCATGTCTAATTCACCACTACCTCCGTGTTAGCATTATAATGGTCGACAGTGGAATGTGACAGAGCAGATTACATACAATACTTGAAGCAAATTGTAAGCCTGCTCGTAAGCTTGTGCAAGCAAGCACAGAGAAAATGTGGCAACAGCATTGTAACACCAGGAGCGAAATAAAGCTACAAACAATGTTTGTCCGTCTTTGGTTTCCAGATTTCGTAAACGTTTCCGTACTTCTGCAAGTTGCGGAGCCGTAATAAGATTATTGTTGAGATTTTGCACCATGATACTAGCAAATTCAACATCCTCTTCCTTCTCTATGCAATCAGCTAGGGTGCGATATATTCGCTCAGGGCTGAGGCTGATGCATAGTTGCCGGATAATTAAGTTGCCCCTGGTTTCTAGAAGTTTGCGATCGGTAGAAAATAGCTGCAGTAAATTGACCATGAAGTTTGCAAAGTAGTCATCTTCGCTATTTCTGGATATTTGCGATAGCAGCTGTAAGTCTTTTGTGACAACCGCGTCGGATGGGTCAGAAAGGGTTTTGAGCAACGCGGGAAATGTCCCATCGTTAAATGCTAGAACTTTTCTAGGCGCCTTTCTGTGAAGCATAATAAGCCATGTCAATGCAGCAACCCTTGTTGCTTCATGGTCATTTAGAAATAAAAGAGTGAGGGAGTTGACAGCAGCAGCATAATCGAGGTCAGTCTGGGGTGAGTTGGCAGACAACCCACCGGATACAGAAGCCGATCGGCCCAGACCATGACCAGGACTCTGCGTACCCTGCTCACGAATGCTCGATAAAGATATCCGATTGCTATGGGAATCATCAGGTCGATCGACAGCTAATGTCAGCGGTGCTTGTTGACTTTGGCCGGCTGAAATGCCTTGGTAGCTTAGTCCTGAGTCGTCAGAGATTGAGACTACATAATCCATGAGACAGGTATTTACTCGGGTAGCAGCTTGGTGAATGGTCTCTTTGCTGCTAGCCATAGCAGGAAGCATGTGAGCGAGGATCTTCGGGGTGAAGGGCAACACTTCCTCTGGGCATATGTCGAGAAATTCCACAATCCATCTAAGAGATTCCAACAGACAGTCTTCTTCTACTTGTAGTTAGAACTGACCACTGTCAACTAGCACTTTGAAGACGGAAATATAGCAAACCTAGTGGAGAATCCAAAGTAGCCGTAAGGATCTCTAATATGTTTTTGTAGTTGATTTCAACATCTTGCCCTGGAATCCAATCTTCCTCAGCGCTATCTTCCTCATCGTCGTCGAAGGCATCGGATTCGATCTCGTCCCCTTCTTCGAGGTCTGGCCGAAGACTTTCTGTATCCATGGACTCTTGACGTTTTCGCTTGCCCCCCTCTCTCGACTTTTTGCTCTCAACAATTCCTTTCTTCACCCGCGAGATTCGTTTGATCTCATTAATAAATTTGTCAAGACAAGACTGCGTTGCAGTTTGCACATCTGTATTCTGATCTCCAAGAAATTTGAGAAGACCCCCAAGAAAGTCAGGAAGATACGTGACGAGTTCAAGGTCAGGAATAGAATCCAACAGGGTTATCCAGCCAACGAGAAATTGTCGAGTGAAGGGGTTTATGACCCATATTCTCTCCTTCAGCAACGGGATAAATCTTGACAGCGAGAATGCAGTAGGTAGAGTTACTTGCTGGTCCTCTACGATGGCCTTGTCATCGCCGTCGAACCTTGGCGGTGCCTCAAGTACCGATACATATGAAGCAGCCGATTCGGAAACAATATCTTTAACAAGCCGGTCCAGCAATTCAGCGCCATTCTTTACCGATAGTTCGGAGTCGGCCCCAAGCTATTTTTATCTTAGTAACCAGCACAACTTTGAGCATGTAGAACCCAGGGGCTGAAAAGGAGAAGACCATACCCGACAGAGTTGATCAAATATGCTATTAAAATAGACCAAAATCTCACCCTTTGCGACTTTGGCAATGTTATACATTGCCTCACAGGCGTAGTATCTTACACGGGCATCTTGGTCAGTGAAGCAGGCAAGCACCGGCGGAACTATCCTAGAAAGATACCGTGGGAGGTCCTAACGGGTTCCAGTCAGCGGTTGGATGACATGAATCGTTGGAGAGGCATGGGCACCAAGACGGCGGACAAACATCTGCTTGTAGTGAAGGTAACACAGCAACGAAGGATGAACTCTAAACAAGATTTGTTTCCTTGAAAAAAGGGGGTAGTATTGCACAGAAGGTTACGACACGACTCAACGCTTTAAGGTGTCAACCACACGACGCCATTGGTACTTACAGGGCCAAGAGCAATCGCCGCCGCAGCGAGGCCGATAAGTCCCCCATTTCGAGCATGAGGCTGGTGATCTGCGTAGGCATAGTCATTGCACAATTGCTCGAGAATATCGTGTACTCGTTGATAGTCCTTGGCCGCGACAAGGTCTCGTATGACTTTCTCTAACCTGTCCAACACAATATCAGATGAGGCGCTCGTTGTTCGACTTAACATGTACCCGCATGCTTTAAAAAGGTGAAGAGAAGGTCAAGGAAAGGCGATGAGAAAAAGGACACATACTCAAGTGCTCCGACCTTGCGCTTGTCGTATAGTTTGTCGTTCAGGGCGCGTTGAATGTTGGTATCCATGGTCACTAGATCATGCTTTTCAACTGCGTCAGGTGGTTTGCGAAGGAAATTATCCGCCTGGCCATAGGTGCACAAAGATTATGCAGTGTTATGTCGGTTGACAGGCGAAATGGCCGCTACCCCGAGAGCTGCCTTTAGAGTGCCACGATCCCGAGAGGACGAGACAGTAAGTAACAAGGGACGAGACCGCTTGATGAGTGCAGACGGAGGTGTGTATTGATGATATGTCCTTAGGTTGGTGGTCTCTGACGACCAGTTTACAGAGCAACAATTGACGACATTGAAACAGGAGTGAAGGATGCTCGAGAATATGAAGGCCGGATGGCATTGTGGCACTGTGGCACTGTGGAGATGTTGCCTGGGTGTGGCGTCATGTCAGCTGGCCACCACCAGATACCTACTTAAGTAGGTAGTTAATCCGTGTCTTGTGCGTTGAAGGTTAAGCATGCATCCGGGAAAATGCGGCAAAAGGCCACAAGATAGATGATATAATATCAAGTGCCAGGTGTTTGTATGGACAAAGTTCCAAACGCGGAGTATTACCACTTTTTTTCCAAGGTGGACGAGAACATCCCACGCCTAGAAACTTGATACAAGACACACACTCGAACACTGCGTTTTCAACTTGGATATAGATATATTATATGCCTAACCGTTTTCTTCTTCATCATTAAGTTTTAAAAATAATGCCTGCTTCATCGCCTTAATAGCAGTAATTGACAGTATTCCAATCAGAGACTCGCACATATCGAAAAGGAACTTTGCCTCCTCGGCTTGGCTTTTTCCTCCAACGGAGGCTCATAGGAAAGAATATATGTGTAAAAGCACACCTGATCCATGAAAAATATCTTCCAAAAGTCTTCGAATTTCTCCTGCATCAGTCATGGTGTCCAAAAACACCGCCATTCCTCGCTACAGTCTGTTGGCATTTTGCCAGAATAGCAGCCTGTCGGGAAACCTCTGAAAGTCGACCAATGACAGCCTTGTTTCCATCGGAAAACCCATACAGGGCATAGGGAATGCCAACGTCTCGGCAAAACTCTACCACCAGCCTTTGTGCCTTGCGAAGGTTATGTCGAGGCACCCGGGGGAAAAGATGGTGGATTGCCTGAAACTGTAACCCTCCGTGTATGAAGTCGAGCCAGGGGGGGCAATCTACATCCATCGTGGTACGAAGCATGCGCTGTGCGAAGGACTCCTGTGGTCCCAGGTCTGAAGTGCTCATGGCAAAATGGGAGAGCACAATTTGCACATGGAGCGGCGAAGAAGTAACGTGGCTAACCATGACAAACATAAACCGCGTCCAGCCATCAGGGAGCATCTTGTACAAAATGCCATAACCAAACCAAGCCCAGAAAAAAAATTGCCCCGCAATCTCCAAGTACCAGTGCCAGGCTCCAGGGCCACGCCTTGGGCCCCTACGAGCAATTAGATAGTCCCACGACAACCGGTAGAGATTGAATCGTCCCAACGCAAGTAGAGGATAGTATGTCCAGGCTTGAATCCTCAACATAAATTTGGCAACGGCATCGTACTCCATAACCCGATCGTAGTACGTCGATCGCAAGCTTCCCAGTAAACGATGTGTCACGGCGAAGAGGGGTATGTGTTCAATGTCGGGGTCATGCTCTGGGGCATTCGTAACGATGTGATGAACATTGTGGTTCCTCTTCCACCAGCCAAGGGACAGGCCGCCGATAAAATCAGCGACGAATATCCCAATAGCAGTGTCGATTTGGTAGTCGTGTGTGATCCCCATATGCCCCGCGTCGTGAGCCAGGAAGACAAGTTGATGCCAAGCGAGGCCTAAGAACACCGCACCCAGCACATATTGCCTATAACTGAGAGATATGAACATAGCGGCGAATAATCCAACATATCGGCAGCATTCAAAGACATATGCGGTCCGACTGCATTCGTAAAGGCCTTCATCCATAATAGCCTGATGCAGCCTTTTGTATTTCGCTGCTATTTCGTGCTGGGTGACAAGATCAACACCCGGGTACTTGTCGATGTCTAGACTAACCTGCTCTCTTGTAAGAGCGTCTAGATACGACATTCCAGTAGTATCAGGTTCCACACTTGACTGCGAGGATATTGACGCTGTTCTTGTGGGGTGATCTTCGTCGTGGCCTCGTCTTCTCAAACCGTCATGATCAACATCAAATACGGGGGATGGCGATCTAGAGATGGGAGTGCTTGAGGCTAGCATTTTTCTATTATGCAGCTCTTCACAATCAACATTGTTGGCGTCCAAAGATGAGCGAAACGCACCCCCCTGGATCGGTGGTCGGAAATTGGTCCAAAAACCATCAATCTTGCCGATTCGATACCGCATCATTTGTTCTTGGGCGGCCTTGGAATGAAGACTGGCGTGTAAGGAAGAGGCAAACCCAGTTAGCAGGAAAGGTTCACCTTTGAAACGTTGAGAAAACTGTCAAGGGTGTGAAATCACCTACGCTTGGATTTCATCTGTAGCATCTTTGCCTACCATATGCAGTAAAGCTTTCTCACCACCCGGATGGTAAGGCAGCCATGGGTCGACTTTGAGGACATATTGATTGAAGATGACGATTTTTTGACCGCCTGCTATGCGACTTTCAATCTCATTCCTAGACATGTAAGGGTATGCCCGAACCCCGGCAAGCGTTGAGTTCGAGTTCATCAGATTTGATTCGTGGATGTCTGAACCAGGAATATCGATTGGGGGCTGTCTACTCTGTAGTAAACGGGTTGAGTGCAAGATGTGCCGTCAATCGTGTCTTGTCGGGGTAGTGCTAATCTACCACGAAGAACCATCAGTCGCACGCGCCAACCTCCCAAGTTTTGATAGGCATGAGACGATAGACTCGGGATCCTGAGAGCGATTTGCCGGTATTCCCCTCAAAATCCCAGCAATTGAAAGGCTGAATCAATATCGTCGGGGTTTTTTGTGCTTCATACGATTTTGTTGGCCGTCTGTGGATGTTGTATTCACCACGTTTCTTGTCTTTTCCGTGGCATGAGTGAGGTGGAATAGGCTGTCCCACGTCCAAGGGAGAAGGCGGAGAATGCTTGAAAGCTACCAGACCGCTAACAAAATTCGTTTGGCAAGGCCACCGGCCCCTTCGGCTCGGCTAGATGCAACGTGAAAGCAGCCCACTTGAGAGGTAGCTGCGCATGTTTTACAGATTGGGTCGTCAATCAGGGAGGCCATGGCAGGGGTTCGGTGCGCAAGCGGCACTGAACTTCAAGAGGTGCACGTGTGTCTGCGGAGTACATCTGGTACGAAGAACGGAGAAGTGCTCCGTACAGGCTTGATCTTACCACCAGACGACATTGCCACCTGGCCGGTGCAACCCATTGTGGAGTAGACGTTGAGAGTTTAAAAGGCCCTTTAAAAGACCCAAAATTACATACACACCATATCCTCGTTCATTGGGGACAGAGGTGCTGCACAGAGGGGCAGTTGAGACGCCGTAAGGACTCTGACTAGAACTAGGAATGATTTCGGCCTCTGGTTCTCCCAGCACTGAGGCATCTTCTGCGAAATATTGTGAGCGACATACTGGCATATGTCCTGAACTACGCCCCTGTACTCTTCAACCTGATGCTGTGTAGAGCATCAGTGTGTACCTAAGTAGGTACTTAGTAGTGATCAATAGAAAAGCAACAGAGGCAGCCCAAGCACCTCGGTATTTGGATCCATTCACAAAACCGCACCAGCGTTTGAATCACATTGCTGGTTTGACCGTCGCATTTACCTGCTTTTCATTTAGATACGTAGAATTGAAAGGGTGCGAAGTTAAGGGTGCATGTGCAGTCACTGTAGCAGCTGATTTCAATACTGTCAAATTAAAATATGGCCATTTGCTATGCAGAGGCTATAACTCCTTTAACAGAGGGTTCATTACTATTTTACACCATCTACCATGAGAATACCCGGAACTACAATAAGTACCACAGCCAAATGCTAGAAGGAAGACTGATGTAGGAAAAACTATGCTCAACCCCCCACCGTCGGTCGCTCCTGATCGGAATCATTTCCGCATAGGCTTCCACCACCAACCCGCTCGCTCAATATTTGACATAGTCTATCGAGAGCTGATGACTCCTGAGCCTCGGCCTACTCCTATTTCCAGAAACGTTTGCCGCCTTAGAAGTGAATGGCTTTTGAGCTAGTGGCCATAGCGGCCTCCTTGAAAGCTTCCGCTAATGTTGGGTGTGCATGGCAGGTTCGTGCAATATCCTCCGTTGATGCACCATATTCTAGGGCCAATGTGCCCTCGGCAATCATCTCTCCGGCATTCGGTCCGATGATGTGAACTCCTAGAAGTCTGTCCGTCTCTGGATCTGCAAGCATTTTGACGAGACCATCGGTGTCTAAATTGGTCTTGGCACGAGAATTGGCGCTGAATGGGAAAGTCCCGACACGGTAAGGGATCTTCTGGTTTTTCAGCTCTTGCTCGCTCTGGCCGACCCAAGCAACTTCGGGATAGGTGTACATGACAGAGGGGATACAACCATAGTTGACATGTCCGTATCCCTTCTTGATATACTCGACGACAGCTACAGCTTCTTCCTCTGCCTTATGAGCGAGCATTGGACCAAAAGTAACGTCGCCAACACAGCGGATATGCGGGATCTTCGTTCGGTATTCAGAGTCGATAATTACGCGACCTCGTTCATCAAGCTCCATGCCAATGTTCTCCAGGCCCAAACCCTGCGTGTACGGACGGCGGCCAATGGCAACTAAAACAACATCTGCACTGAGCTGCAAGCAGGATTAGCAGTGGTACTATTATAGAACAGTATATCAAAAAGGCCAAGGAAAGAGGGAACGAAGAAGAGGGCGGAGACAGAGCTGATAAAGGCAACGGGTTCAACCTACAGTTTCAGGCTTGCCACCCTTGGCAGCGTCAACATCCAGGGTAACCTTATCACCAGATTTGTCACCGCTGACGACCTTGGTGTTCAGCTTAAAGTCCATTCCTTGCTTCTTCAAAAGCTTCTGGGTTGACTTCGCAATTTCCGTATCCATACCAGGACCTCCGATCTGGCTCAAAAACTCGACGACGGTGACCTTGGTACCTAGCCGTGACCACACTGAAGCCATCTCAAGACCAATAATGCCGCCGCCAATGACAACCATGGTCTCAGGAATTTTTTCCAGAGAAATGGCACCCGTGCTGGTAATGACACGCTTCTCGTCGATTTCAAGACCGGGAAAGGGGGTTGCTTCAGAACCGGTGGCAATGAGAATGTTCTTGCCTCGCACAGTTGTCTCGCCACCATCATTAAGGGCAACCTTGATATCATTTTCGTTGACAAATGAGCCTGCACCTTTGATGTACTCGACACCATTCTTCTTCAGAAGGAACTCAACACCCTTGGTGAGGCCGGTAACGGCGGTGTCTTTGGCCTTCATGAAGTTGGCAAGATTCAGTTTGACGTCGCCAACCTCTATTCCACGGTTCTTCGTGTCGTGCAAAATCTGGTGGTACAAATGCGAGTTGTTCAAGAGCGATTTCGAGGGAATGCATCCTACATTGAGACAGGTACCACCAAGGGTGCCACGCTTTTCAATACAGGCAACCTAAAGAATCGTCTTTTGTTAATTCACAGAATAGCTATCAGTAGGTTCAGCATCGATGATCTTACCTTCATGCCCTCTTGACCTGCTTTGATAGCGGCAACGTACCCAGCGACACCACCGCCGATGATAACGAGGTCCTTCTCCTCTGAAAAATAGTTAGCTCTAGACACACGCCATGTTCGGAAATGGCTCGCCAAAATGGTATTCGCAGACCTGAGGAAGAGGCGTAGCCACGGGTCCATCGTGACAATCCTGGAGACGAGATGACGGTTGGCAACCTGAGAAGACACGGTGGTTAGAGGGCTGAATTGATTGCAACGATTCCTAGGGACGACCATGGATGACGCATCCCAAGTGGAAGCTCCAAGATCAGACAACTTACGAGGAATGCTGCCAGGACGACGGCCTGACCGCGACCCTGGATACAAGACGGCTAGTGAGCATCTTGAGGCACCGATATGCAAATTATGGTTAGTCAATGGGTGCCGGATGAGAGGCGATGGCGACGAGAGGGAAGGTTGAGGTTTTGAGACACAGGAGCGTCGTCGGAGAGCTCCTGCGAGGCTTTGCGGTAAAACGGCAGGGTGGCGCCGGAACAGCTGGTAATTTTTCTTGGGACCCGGCGCTTCCCTCAAAACGTTGGGCTAGGTAACTGCTACCTCCCCAGGTGGGCATGGTTTCGCCTACCACGTACCTGTAGGCACAAAGGTGAGGTGTCCGGAGTACCTCCACATAATCCACGGGGCGAGGGCTGACCAATGAGGAGGCTCTGAGTCGGTTGTCCTTACTAAAAATGAATAATGCCTCAGGACCAAATGCCGAGCCACGAGCCGTACAATTCCGCCTTGAGGCGACCTTAGCCGCGCCAACATCAAAGTCCGAGAAACCAGAGACAAACGATATCAATGTACTAATACTGAGTTTCCTGATACACAAAAGTCAATGAATGTTATACCTAAGTATTCGGTAACTTTGCAGCCTGGGAAGGGTGAAGCAAAGTCTGCTGGCAGGATTCTACCAGGAAAAGAACCCCCCTGACACAAACAGCAGAACCATCTTTTACGTACAAGTGTCTGTGCGCCTGACTTACCTAGCTACTAGGCATTTCTTTCGGATTTAACCTTCTAAAGTTTTATAAATCGAGATGCTTGTGCTAGGACGTCATTCTGCAGAAGATAACAATTGGATCAAAATTCACGAATTACGCCAAACCGGAGTTAGCGTGTACCGCAGTACTCAATGGCCAGCCTTTATTACTCGAAATATTAACTGTCGAACCGCCTCGTGGGCTAGACCATAATCCTTGAATTCTAAAAATTCGTTCATCATCTGACGTCAAAATGATCCTTTACCTGAATAATATAGAGTACATTATTGCTTATCCCCGTCTGACCCTTGGATAGCGGCTTGTGCTTTTGTTCTCACCCGTTGCATCGCCTTGGTCTCCTTGTTCCCAATATACTTGGACTTGCGGACTTTTTTCCTCAAAAACCAGTGGAGATTGGCTGCCAGAGCAGGCAGCTCGCTGGCAGGGCCGAAGATACGCTTCACCTTCAGATCTTCACTGGTCTCTTTCCCTCTGCATTGCCGTAAGAGACTTAGAAGAAACAACTCCACAAATAACGAGGCCCATACATTTAGTTCCGGGAGGTCAATGGGTTTGAGGATGCTGATGCCAAGGGCACCTGTAGCCACAAGTGATGCGTAGAATTGAGCAATGTTGCCCAGCCGGCTTTCGTTTTTGAGTCTTTCCCCTTCAGAAGTCTCTTCAGCTTCCTCTGAACCTTCGCCGAATAGGGATTCGCCTAAGTTTCGAAATATTTTCCAAAGACGATCTTGAAATGCGAATCGTATTCGGCTGTTCACACAAGCTTGCCCCCCCACCAAGGCATAGTATTCATTGTAATCTGGTTCGCTTCCAACACATTGCACCAAAACTCTGGCTATTTCAAGCTGATCATCCTTTTTCAATTTCAAACCCACAAATTGGCGATGACCATGTTCGTAGTTAAGCCCCGACATAATGGCTGTAAATATGGCAATCT